CCCACGTTTGCCTCACTATTTTGTGGTTGGGTGCCGTTAAGCTTCTCGTGGACGTTTATATCGGTTTCAGGATGTTTTTCGTGTTGCTGTTTGCTTAAATCTGACGCTTTCTCCACATGGGTACTGTGGTGAAGTTTGGAAGTCGTTGCTCGTGTTCTCTTGTAAGCGACTTTAGTCTCACCCGTCTCCTGACCCCTGCACTTTCTCTTTCGCCGCCTGTAGTTTCCGTTCTCGAACATGTCCAGACATTTGGTGTCCAGCGTCCAGTAGCTCCCCTTCCCTGGTCGCCCTTTTTCTCTGGGCACTTTAATAAAGCAGTCGTTCAGCGAGAGGTTGTGGCGGATTGAGTTCTGCCAGCCCTGCTTGTTGTCATGGTAATAGGGGAAGCGGTCCATGATGAACTGATAGATCCCGCTCAGCGTCGCGCGCTTGTCCGGCGCGTTCTTGATTGCCATGGCGATGAGCGCGATGTAGCTGTAGGGAGGTTTCTGTGGAGGCTCCTGTCGACTGGACGCGAATCCCAAAGCGGGAATGATGCCTCCAACTTCGCCACCGTAAACATAGATTAGGGAGGAATTCGATAGACTGAGAGCCGATGCAGCCACGCCGGGCTGCGGCACTGGGCTGTGGTATAAACTCATGACTTCGGAGGACACTTTCAGTCTGGGGAGATCGCCACCGGTGTGTCCGCTTCATGAGTCTAAATGTTAAATAATTGTTGTCCGTTTTTTCTGTTTTATGTTGACTTAGCGCTGGAAAATAAATTGTCTATGATAAACACTCGTTGTGTTCCCTCAGCCCACCCACATTAATTAAATTTTCATTGCAGAAAGCCTCGAGTCTCTCTCTCTCGCTCTCTCCGCGTGTCCCCTGCCTACCAGCCAATGGTGTGCTCGGTTATTCCTTCATTTGTTTATAGAATTAGTCTGTTGATAAGTCTGCCCACCCAAGTTGAATCAAACTGTGTTTATTTGGAAAAATTTCCGGGCACCCAATACATAAACGCACTGATCTGATGTTTGAAATATCACGTCCACCCTTAACGCTGAAAGTTGCTCGCACAGAGAGAACAAGCAAACATGACAGAGCTCTTTTGGGGAGTTGCTTTGGGTTGCTAGAAAAGAAAACAAAGCTGGCTATGTAAAAGAAAATGACGGTAACACTTTACAAAAAGGTTTCATTTGTTAAGATTATAGTTTGAACTAACAATGAACAAAATTTCAACAGCATTTGTTAATGTCAATCTCAACATTTACTAATGCGTTTTTAAAATCAAAAGTTGTATATGTTAACATCAGCAATAATGCACTATGAACTAACATGAATATGAACATTTCATTAACAAAGATTAACACAATTTTTTTGAGCTCGTTGTTAGTTGTTAATGCATTAACCATGTGACCTTATTGTAAAATATTACCTAAATAACCTTTTTGGTAACACTTTAGATTAGGGTTCAGTTCCCGCTAACTAACTAGAATAGGGATATAGAATTAGGTAATGCAGAATAAGGCATTAATATGTGCTTTAAGTATTAATAAACAGCCAATATCCTAGAAATATGCATGCACAACTACTTAATAGTGAGAATTGGACCCCTAACCTTAAGTGTTACCCAAAATGTATACATTTATGTTTCAGATGAATCTGTAATTATAAAGTTAAACAGTGGATGTTTGTTTTGTTGCACTGTTTGCAATTTTGATTGCAAAACTTTGTTTGCCATATATAAAATATATAGCCTAGTAAAAGACAATACATAAAATATTGTTTTAGTAAAAAGTATGAATTATCTTTTTACATAGAAAGTGCAAAGGGCAATATCTTTTTGATTTTTTGTAAATTGGATCATCGAAAGAGTGCTACTAAGAATTGCCTTGGATAAAATGGGAATAAAAGATTCATGAGGAAAATTCCTATTCCCTGCACAAATCATCTAATTTATTTAGATGTAATTCAAAAGTTCTTCTCGGTCCATTGAAATGTTTTATGTTGCATTTTATCTTTATTGTATTATTTTATTATTGTGTGTCTGGCCTTGATCATGTTTTGTGTCTTTGAACTTTAAACATCATGTGCTCTGCCAACCACCTGTGCTGTTATCAGTGTGACTAAAACTAAAAAGATTTTATTATAATTTAATGACTTGACAATTACATCATAATACTTGTAATATCCTCACTGAATTTTGGTTAGTCTGGCAACCACAGCTGCTAGTACAAAACCATTTTTACTGTATAACTTCTTTACTATCATATAAAGAGTTCATCGGTTTGCTAACAATAGATAAAAGAGCAGTGATATCCAAAAAAGGAAAACTTGGCTGGACGTTAGGAGAAACTGTATTATTTGTGGATGCACGCATGATGCTTTATATTATGTATTTTCCTGTTTATAGGACAGAGAGGGATTATAACAACTTTACAAGTGCTCACAGCTGGCCTGTGATTACATTATGCGTTTGGAGGTTTTTGTGGATAAACTTAAAAGTTTTTCCTGAGTTTGTACTATCCCTCTAAAGATGGTGATTCATAAAGTTTTAGACTAAAAATCCAGACACACCGACAGCACGCCACTCCGATAATGTTGCTTCTTATGCTTGCTGTAGAGGTTGATTGATCTAACAGACGTGTTGCCATTTTCTTTGAGCATGTCTAACCTTTCCATATTGTTTTATTGTGCTATAATTATTAGAGAAAAGATTTTTGTGAGAGAATTAGAGTTTTGTGTTTCATCAAAAGGTATATTGCAGTATATTTTTTGCCTTTGTTTTCATATGCTATATCTTGCATCGTTATTAATCGCTCCAAAAACATTTTATTCAACATGAATTTTTTATCAGCGAATCTGTCTTCTAGACTCAAAACGAGGAGAGAAATGTGGTTTTAGATTGTTTGTATAAGTAGACACAGATTTTTTCTGTTATTTTTAACCGTTAGCAACATGTGTTAAAATTCCTTACTCTTTGTTTTATTCATCATGTTCCCATCTGAAGGATAAAAACAAACAAAAACCCCTGTGAAACAGACTGGCAAGGTTTGTTACCAAGCACAATAAATAAAATCAGGGCCAACAATGTTTCCACAAACAATGTAATTGGAGTTTTGATCTGGGCTATTGGTGCAGAGAAAGTCAAATTATTCACAGAGCTTTGCAAATCATTCACAGTGTCTCGTTCTGTCTTTTCAATCAATTTATGTCAAATGTGAATATATTGCATACTATTCAGAAGAGTTGTATGTTTCTTTCATTCTGTTTGGACAGTTGTTGTTTGCCTTTTTATCCAAAGCTACTTACAAAGCTACCTAATTACGGGAAAATGCCCAATGGGACAATATGGGGTTAAATGGGGTTTGCTTAGACACACAAAATCATGTTCCTTATAATAAACAAACAATAGTTTGTTACATTTACAAACTATCATGAAAGAACACTGTATCGCATGTGACCAACACAAGGAGGTGCATCTGGATCTTAAACGTATATAACGATTTTCATCCAACATTGATTATATTATACATTTTTCAGATCAACACACAAAATAAGACCTCTTCAGCTTCTAAATGCTGCTATTATACTATTGTGTTATATTCTATTATATGCTATATTTCATTATTCTATTCTATTTGCATGCAAATGCCCAACAAATGTGTTTGTTCTTTTTTTTCCTTTTTTTTTTTTTTTTTTTGGGTATTACAAGGATTCATCCAGATCCAGGACACAAAACGTTTTGTAAAACCGTACTGAGTAGCCTACTCACAAACAGACACATGTAAACTCAATCAGAGCAAAATAGTCAGACACCAGGTGAACATATCATTTGAACATTTTGAGTCATGCTTTTGAGATTAAATAATAAAACACAGATGGTATGCTTAATTGCAGCGTTTACCTGTGTTATCATCACTTGTAGGCCTACTATAATGCAAGCACTCAATAAATTACGCCATCTGGTGGCTTTTTTTTAGTCAGTATTCTCAATACCTTTTCAAATTACTGTCCTCATTGGTGTGGCTTTTCGTGCGGTGACTCGGTTTAACGGATTTAGCTGTCAGTGTCAGATCTAACCTTAGACTGGGATGAACAAGAAGAAAGTAAAGAGATCCATTTGCTCCTGCCCATAACACCAACTCCTTATCTTTCAACAGTAGGCTACAGTACAGACACGGTAAAGGCCTAAATAACTTTATATACTTATTAAAGGATTATTTCACTTTTAAAAAAACTTTTGCTGATAATTTACTCACCCCCATGTCATCCAAGATGTCCATGTCTTTCTTTCTTCAGTCGAAAAGAAATTAATGTTTTTGATGAAAACATTCCAGGATTTTTCTCCATATAATGCACTATTTTTTCATTCATTTTTGAAATGACAGATAAGACCCTTATTCATCGTCTGGTATCATTTAAAGCCCTTTGAAGCTGAACTGAAACGGTCATTTAGACCTTGAACCGTTTGGCTACCATTGAAGTCCATTATATGGAGAAAAATCCTGGAATGTTTTCATCAAAAACATTAATTTCTTTTCGACTGAAGAAAGAAATACATGGACATCTTGGATGACATGGGGGTGAGTATATTATCAGCAAAAGTTTTTTAAAAAGTGAACTACTCCTTTAATTAATTAATTTATTTATTTATTTATAGATAATTGTAGTGGAAAATAAGTTGTCTTTTGTTTATTTCCTGCTATGTCAGTTGAGCTAAAAAGTAAAGTTTAATAAATACCAGCACTCTTGAATTATTAACCTAATTAACTTACATATAGGCGGCTAGCTATATATAATTACACAGAGTAATACATAAGTAATACAACAATTAAAACAGTATACCTCTCGGTTGAAGTAAAGAAAATAATTATGAGAGCCTCTCATAATTATTTTCTTTACTTCAACCACCAAATTAATTGGTGTGACTCATAAAATCTGATTAGTGATTCGTCAATTGCGCTATTTGACTTTTATTTTGGAGATTGCCGCCGGAAGTGCTATGTTGTTCGCACCGGAAGTTGAATAATCAGCTGATCATGGTGTTTTGGATGGAAGTTGTTTTTGGCACGGAGGGGCTCTTTCTTTATCATCTTAAGCCAATCTTAAACGTCAAAGACACCGGAAAATAAAGCTGCATGTAACAGTGCGGCGCCTCCAACAACCGAAACGTCCGAACGCGGAGAAATCCGTGTCATTATGAACAGATGGTGGTCATAAGTGATGATCTGTTTGCTTGCTGTTGAATCATCGGAAAGAAAGAAAACAACGTCAGGCGAAGCTCGAACGAGTCACTGATAGTCTGATGTATGTGTCTCGAGTCATATAGACCGGTCATAAAAAGCTTAAATGCATGTAATGTAACTGTTTGGACACGAAACGGCCTTCGTTCGCTGTAATAAATAGTAGCTTACGAGTTTTATGTGATTCAGGAGTAAGTCAAAGGTCAGATCAAAGTATTTTTTTTTTTACAACTGACAGCAGTTTTATAAATACTTTAATTCCATGTATGTGAGATATAAGATAATTAACGCCTTGAATTAATTCATGCTTAAGAAAGTTGATAAAAGAGCAGCAACCTGTAACCAATTGTTCCTTCCTGACATCAGCTCGCTGTGACTGACATACAGTTTACTTGTCTAATTTATTTAAGCTTAAGTCATATTGACCTTTTTATTCGTGTGTATCTGTTATTCGTTTTATAGTGTTATTTATAAGTATGGTGACAGTGGAATGCGTTGATAGCTGGATTGCATCACTTGTGTTTTGACATATCTGACGTCAGGGTGTCGTGTGTCACTCAAACTGTGTTTAAAGTGTGTGGGAGCTTTTTAAACGTACTACTTCGTTAAATTTGGACTCGTTGATTTAACGGTGGATTATTCAAGATTTTTTGAGAGGGAAGATTCAGATCTGGCACAGTCAGAGATCCTCGTTGATATCCCCAATTTCTCCCCGCCAATGCTGGATCTGGAGGTCGTTCCTGAGCGATCTTTGGGAAATGAACAATGGGAATTCGCATTAGGTGAGTGTGGAATAAGTTCAAAATCTGAAGTAACATGTTGCACAAATATGTAATTGTTATTGACAGAATGTTTACTTTTTGAAAATAAGCTGTTTTATTTGACTGTATAGTCAGTTGCCATCTGGATTTCACAATTGCACCACATGCTTTTTGACACGTTCACATCCGAGGTTCTCTTGACCTGAAAAGGGTCTCTGTTACTCTGAATGAATTATTTGTCCCTTTAGATTTTTCGCAGGGGCTGCTGGCTAATGATATTATTCAAAGATATTCAAACATGATACTTATCATTATTTTTTTTAATTCATCAGTGAATTTTTCAAATTCATGTGCCCTTGTAATCTACAACCAAAATAAAAACCCCTCCCTCATGCATCTTCTCTGATGACGTGTTTACTGGCGCGAGGGCGAGACAACCTGTCACTCACATGAGATCACAGCAATAGAGTGCATTAGTGCCAGCCCACGCATCAGCGCCATTGGTTCTGGAAGTGTGTTTTCCCCCCCATTAATTTCTCCCATAGGGATTTAAAAAATAAGTCTTTGTTAAAGCATTACAATCCATGGACTAAGCCAATGAGCGGCGTGGTGAATCACAATATTACAATTTTTTTATTTTAAGCACAAAAAAAGTATTTGATAATTGGACAAAAATACAGGTACAAGACTTTGTACATAATGGCTTTAGTGAGTGAAAGTACAATCCCATGAAGCATTGCGAACAGCCTAATCAAATTAAAAAAAGATGGAGATTGGAGAAATATAAAACTACTAGCTAATTAACAGCCTAATCAAATTAAAAAAGATGGAGATGGGAGAAATATAAAACTACCTAATTAATTTTTTTTTAATATATATATATATATATATATATATATATATATATATATATATATATATATATATATAATTTACACACACACACAAATATTTAAGTATTTTGAGATCTTATGGAGACTCAATTACATCATTCGCAGTCCTTAATGGGAATTGGCAGAGCTAAAGAGCTCTTTTTCCAAGTTTTGCTTGTTTCTACTTGCTGAATTGGGGAATTTCCTGTACAGCATAATGGTGGGTAATGTAGTTTTTCACCACAAATTCCACTGTTCGGATGGAGTGATGAATGGAGTTTTTGCTTCAGGATCCTGGCTGTTGCACTCGATAGCAAACCTCAATGATCCAATCAAGTCCCGTACTACTTTTTTTCTCATTCGAGCAAAAAAAGATCACAACTTCCGTTTCATGCTTACCGGTACTTTAAAATAGGAATTATTTTGATTGGCTGTCAATTTTATTGTTTATCAGCTGGGGGGGAAATCGCTCTCAAAGTGATTCCAACAAAATTGTTCCTTTGTGTCATTATTGTCATAGTTTTGGTGTGGAATCCACTATTCTTTTAGAGTGAGAGGTAGAGCTGGGTTTCGATTCAAATTTCAAGAATCGATTCCGATTCTCAAGATCTTGAATCGATTATCATTATTCGATTCGATTCGATCCGATCCGATTTTCGAGATTTAGATAAGTGTTTTTGTTTTTTTCCAGCTGTTACCTGAATTACAGCCTGTAGTTATGCAACATGTTGATGCTATTAGGCAATTATAGACATTTAACTGCTTGTTTTGAACTTCATGCATGTGTATTGAATGTTAAACAAGTTCATAATGATAACAAACAAGACTGTTTATCGTGGTGATGTGTAGCCTACAGAGGCTTCGCACAGACAGTGAATGAGAGAGATCGGCAGAGCGCGTGCGGATTACCTGCGTCTGTCTTTGAAGTCATATGTATTCGTGAAAAAGGTTGCCGTGTCAAAGGAAAGCGAAATATTTGTCGTATCATCCTTTTAACGTTCACGTCACGGGTATTTACCATAAATGCGCGTCAGCAGCAGCGCTGGTCAGATTTCCACAGCACGAGGAAGCCGCGGGGAAATAAAATCAGCGAGTCACGCATTGAATCAATGCCATATTGGTCTCTAATAAGTGAAGCATCAGCTTCAGCGTTACCCATGCGACGCATTGCTGCTCAGCTGAGCCTTGAAAAGTGGAACTCAAAGTTAAAAATAATTAACACCTTGTTTCATTACATCTCTTTTAATGAATCAGCTTTTTTGAACGTGTTCGTTGAATGAACGAATGACTCACTCAAAGCCCGTTGTTGTCAGTGTGCGCGCTGAGTGAAAGCCTTTCAATGCGCATACAGGGATCTCCAGTCGCGGCAAGTTAAAGTTCACGGGGAAAATGTAAGCCTATTATTAAATCGATCCTCTGAGTTACGGATCGATCTTTAGAAATTAATATGAAAATCGATTCAGAATTGGTGAATCGATTTTTTCAACACAGCCCTAGTGAGAGGACATATTTTTGTTCGAGCTAGTAGCTACTTCATGGTTATATTTATCGTTTTTAGTGTGAATGGACCTTTAAAGTTAAATTTAAGTCATTTTTGGATGTACTAGGAGCTGTGTTGTTTTTTGACCATTAAAAAAAAATCTGTGGCACCTGACCAATAACAATCCACTATTTCAGAAAGCTGTGTAATAAATTATTATAAACAGTGACAAGTTATTTTCTTTCATACTCTACATGTTTGTGTTATATACCATGAAATTATTATATTTTTAGTACTGCAGCTACTAGAGCTGTTGACTCCACTTCTTTTATCATCATGTGAACCCGAAACCTGACAATCTATTTGTTTCTCTGGATTTTTTTCCAGGGATGCCATTGGCCCAGGCCATTTCCATATTACAGAAACACTGCAGAATCATAAAAAATGTCCAGGTGCTCTACAGCGAACAAGTAAGGATGTGCTATTACTATTATTTTCTATAAATGTCTATGTGCACTGAAGTTAATCATACAGATTTTTTTGTATCCTTATCTGACCTGTTTCTCTTCCCCAAACAGATGCCACTCAGCCACGACCTCATTCTCAACTTGACTCAGGATGGAATTAAACTGCTGTTTGACGCCTGCAATCAGAGACTGAAAGTGAGAGACAACATCTGTGTGTGTGTGCACATGCATGGTTTAATTCTTACACCCGTTACATTATGTTGCAAATATATCTCCATCGTTTTTCAGGTCATTGAAGTGTACGATTTGAGCAAAGTGAAACTGAAATACTGGTAAGTGATCTTATGTTTTGCCATAATAGTTTCGGATTACATTTTGTGTTTTACTCTTTTTCTAGATGTTGTAGATGCTGATATACTAACATCTACCGCTAACCACTGTCAGCCAGAGAAATGTAAAATGACCATTTTCTCTGTTCATTACAGTGGAGTACATTTTAACTCTCAGGCAATAGCACCTACTATTGAGCAGATTGATCAGTCCTTTGGCGCTACTCATCCAGGAGGTGAGATTTATTGTCAGCTACAGTTATTTGTCCAGAACCCTCATTGCTGTGTTTGTATGTGTGTGTGATTGCTGGGGGATTCATTGTCTCTCTTTCCAGTCTACAATGCTGCCGAGCAGCTCTTCCACCTGAACTTCCGAGGGCTTTCCTTCTCCTTTCAGCTGGACTCCTGGAGTGAAGCTCCTAAATATGAGGTGAGACTATATTCCCTCCCTGTGTTGTTCATGCTCTTATAAAAAAAAGTTCTGTTGTATTACCATTAGATGGAATACCATGGTTCTGAAGGATACCATATTCATCATGGTATTTAGATGGAGCTTCAAAGAATCCTATGGTATTACCATGGTACATATCCTAAGAAGCATGGTATTGGTATATATCTGAATAAGCATGATATTTTCCATTTTTTAAGTGTTTATTCTCCCTTCTGTTTAGTATTTGCTCTGTGTCAAGGATTAAGGAAGGATTCAGGAATTTAAGGTCCGAAACTTCTCAGACTCTTTCAGAGCATCGTGCTGATGACCCATACCAAGTTTTGTAACTACGTTCATGCGTTCATAAAATACAGCATTTTAGCACAAAATTAAAAATGGCCGATATGGAAAAATTGGATATCAGTCGACTCGGCATGACGCCCTGAATCTAACTATGATTCGAATTTATGATTTTTGGACAAACCGTTCAGAAGTTATAACCAAAAATAGCCATTTTTCGTCTCTCCGGACCAGTAGGTGGTGGTGTGCCGAAACGCAGCAAGTAGCCTCAAGTCATGCTTGTCATGACATGTACCAAGTTTGGTCTGAATACGATAAAGCTTAGCGGAGATAGAGCCTTACGTCTATTTTTGCAAGCTCTATTTAAAATTAGTTTGCGCGGTATTCAAGAGCGGTTTGACGAATCAACTTGAATTCCAGAACTTTTTGTCGGCATGGTCTGAAGATGATCTGGTTACATTTTTCGTGAAAATCGGAGCAACCGTCTAGGATGAGTTCGAAAAAGTATGTTTTTAAAAAAAAATCCAAAATGGCGGAAGGATTTTCAGATGCAATCGAATCGTATTGTGTTTCGAGCCCTTATGGTTCAAAAGTTATTAGCGTAAACATGAGTGAAAATTTTGGACAGTGTGTGGCGCTAGAGGGATTGAGTTAGAGACTCCGAATTTGCTATGGTGACTGTTCAGACTGTCCTCTAACAGTGTGCTAAATTTCATAACTTTGCCGCAAGCGGTTCAATGGGCTGCCATAGACTTCCATACGGAAAACGAAGCGGAAGAATAATAAGAACGTTAACGATTTCAAGAGGTGCCGTCGCACTTTCAGTGCTTGGCCCCTAATGAATGAAATATTACTTTATTATTAATAAAATACTTTAAATAAGATAAATACAGTAACACTTATTGCATGTAATCCAATTATACCAATGTCAGTGTCAGTATTATTTATATAGTTTATTTGTATAATGTATTTTATATCTTTAATCAGGTAATTTTATGTTTTAAGTCTACATTTTATTTTTAGTACATTTTTAGTCATTTTGTTATATGCTTTTGACATTTTTATTAGTTTAAAATATTAGTAATTAGGTTTAATTTTTATTTATTTAGTTTTAGTTCAGTTTTAGTGCTTAGATGCTCACATCTTCTTCACAGTAACGTATTTTGGATAAATTCATACACCGGGCGGGGGGTTATTTTATCATGAACTGAGACTAAAACTATGAAAACATTTTTCTGCATTGAAATAAAATATATATATATTGGGCTTTATTTCAATGAACAAAAATGTTTTAATAGTTTTAGTTTCAGTTCATGATAAAATAACCCCTGCCTGATGTATGGATTTATCCTGTGATGATGATGATGTGAGCATGTTTTCACCAGAGGAGACACCTGCACAGACACTGCATTCTACTACTAGCTGTTTTGCTTTGACAGCCTAACTTTGCCCATGGCTTGGCCTCCCTGCAGATTCCCCATGGGGCCACTGTCAAACGGATGTACATTTACTCCGGAAACAACCTTCAAGAAACCAAGTAAGATTTGTGCATTTGTTTGGATAATTGAGGCCTTTGTGTGAGGATAAAAATGTGTAAAAATGCCACCACTAATGAATGATTATATGCATAAGACTATTGAGCATGGATGTGTTTATTAACAGACCTTCAAGTCATCATCTTATTATGTCCATTTGTAATGTTGATGTGGCCCAAGGGGAGCATTAATCTGCATTTAGTCTGTTTCCTTGGGTATCTAGTTTTGATTGTTCTGTTTAAGCGTTTGGTAAGAACCTCATGGGTTGCATTTCCACAAGCAGCGATCATTGCAAATGATATTTTTCTTCGCAGGGCTCCGGTGATGCCTCAGGCCTGTTTCCTTGGTAATGTGTATGCAGAGAGTGTGGAGGTGCTGAGGGATGGGGCGGGACCCATGGGTCTCAAATTTCGTCTCCTCACCGCAGGTATTACAAGCAACCCAAACTCATTCGCTAATGTCAGAAATCATTATGCAATGTTTCTATTAAATATGCACTTGACTAAATTCATTGTAAGCATCATGCACACCTTTTTATAAGAGTTTCATATTCTCATGAACTCCCAGAATGCAGAATGCTGAGATTTTTTTAGATGCCTCAAAGGAAACTTTTCATCACCAGCTCTTGTCATCACCCTCATCCTGTACTTTGTAACCACTAGAAAACAATATATCTTGTACAGAATACCATACTTTGATCATTCTTGATTCCATTCAAATTTCTATGTATTTTAATTAATCATAATATGCCATTAACAAATATGTATTGTTTTGATGAGGGCAATACAGTTTCCTGTGTTTAAAGGCATGTCATGACATGTTATTTCCTAAGTTATGCTGTGCTTAGAAAACCAGCATTAGTAATTTGTGCTTGAGATAAATAAACAAAATGATTGTTAGTCATCACCAACATAAACAGACAACATAGGTTTATTTAATCACTTTAGCATAAACCAGAGCTGGAAAAATCATAAATGTATTGATCTTAACAAAGATGTTTATATAGCTACTATTATCTATTCTTTGGTCATTTTCCTGGTAATCGGTACTGTGTGACTTTAATTAATAGTCCAGTGGTTCTCAGCTATAGGGTCATGACCCAAAACTGGAGGGTTGTGATCAATCAGACTTGGGTTCCAAGTCTGATAGGTCTGAAGGGTCACAGACAGCAAAGAAAAACAATAAATGCAAACCATAACCTGCAACTATGTAATCATGAATTGTAAGGATAGCAAAATACTTACGTTTTTTAAATTATTTAATATTAATATTAAAATGAGCTCAGGATTAAAAAATGTATCATAACAAGTATAAATTAAATTAAAATAAATTAAGATCTGTTCTTTTTTTTGTTGCAAAGATGTATTAAATTGATCAAAAGTCACAGTAAGGCATTTATAATGTAATCAAATATTTATTTTTCTAATAATGTTCTATTTTCAACTTTGATGATAAGAAATATTTCTTGAGCACCAGATCAGCATATTACAATAATTTCTGAAGGAACATGATGTAAAATATAAGACTCGAGTAATGGTTGCTGATAATTCAACTTTGCCATCACAGGAATAAATTAGATTTTAAAATGTAATCATATTTCAAATTATGACTATTTTTACAGTATTTTTCATAAAATAAACGCAGCCTTGGTGAGAATAGGATTAAAAAATCTTACAGGCCCCAACCATTTGAAATGGCAGTGTATTTTTTTTTTTTTTTCATAACCAATTTTGCTACTGCGTTGGGTCACCACTTGATGTCCGAAGTAAAATCTTGGTGCTGTAATCCAGTTTATAAGTGATATCCAGTGTAATTATATATTTCTTATATAATTACATAGTTGCAGGTTATGGTTTGCATTTATTGTCTTATATCTCCAGAAGTATAGATTGCTAAGCTTTGAAAGCTTTAGTGATTTATGTTTTCTCAAACTAACTTTCAAATGTCTCAATAATATAGCACCTGAGCCACTCAGTTCATTTATGCAGAGACAAAGCATCAATAGAGTCACCAGAGGCTCTATCAATAACAACTGTATAGTTCCATACCGTAAGACTTCATTTGGTCAGTCTGCTTTTTCATATAAAAGTGCAAAGTTGTGGAATTCATTACCCGCTGAATTTAAAACCATGACTGAGCTTAGAATGTTTACTTCTCGAGTTAAGTCTTGGATGAAATCGAAACAGGAATGTACCCATTTGTAGATAGCTGGTTTGTGTATGTAAGGGATTTATATAGTGTGTTTATAGATATGTTTTTAAGATGAAATAGTAATTGTTGTAGTGTAAAGGCCCAACCATGGACTGGAGTTGAAAATTAGCAATAGCTATAAACTCTTTTTGCATAGCATCAGTCACAGACTTGTTTTGTACTATGTTTAATTGCAATGTCCATGTCAAATAAATGAATAAATAAAAAAATAAAAAAACTGAAATTGAATCGGTAAACAAATATGTTGTTTGGAACGCTGCTTTGTCACATTGTATGTGTTACTTCACTTTCTCAGGATGTGGCCCGGGAGTGTTGGCTGATACGAAAGTGCGGGCTGTTGAGAGAAACATCTACTTTGGAGATTCTTGTCAGGATGTTTTGAGTGCTCTTGGCTCCCCACATAAGGTCTTCTACAAGTCAGAGGACAAGGTAATGACCGATCCAATTTATACTCAACACACAGTACATTAATCTCAAGATGAGCAAAGATACATTCTCAGAAATAAACCACGACATTCCCTCTTCACATTTACTCTGTTTGTCCTGACAAATCTTGTCCTTTTTTTATGTCTCAGATGAAGATCCATTCACCCTCCCCTCACAAGCAAGTCCCGTCCAAATGTAATGACTACTTCTTTAATTATTATATTCTAGGAGTGGTGAGTATTAGCTTTAAATAACTCTATTACTTAAATGACTATTTGTTACTTCATAACATGCTGTTAGTGTAGCTTTTGTTTGTTCCATTTGCTAAAAGCCATTGAACTTTGAGCATTATGTCTCTATATATCTTTCAGGATATACTGTTTGACTCTTCAACCCACCTGGTCAAAAAATTTGTCCTTCACACCAACTTCCCTGGTCATTACAATTTTAACATGTAAGTCTCATTTCTTTGCTGTATTGCATTGGTCGCTGCTGTTTGAAAGGTCTGGTAGGTTTGCAGTCTGGACATATTGATTGAATATTGATTTTCATTTAAGTGTTTAGAAATGTGTGGTTTCAGTATCACATACCACTTTATTTACACACTTTATGTGTGTCCATCTCAGATATCATCGGTGTGATTTCAAAATTCCTCTTGTCATTAAAAAAGGTTAGTCTATATCAGACTCTCTGGACTAGATCATAATTCTCTGTTGTGTCTCTGTGGTCTTTTGTGTTTGTCTCATTCTTTATATTCTGTTTCAGATGGGGCAGACGCTCAGAGTGAGGACTGCATTCTGACCACTTACAGCAAAGTGAGTTCATAGACTGTGTTTAGCCTACACATTCTTTATGTAATATATTATATACACATGCATTAGATGCTATGTAGTATTGTATGTGATAAATAATGAAACATTTTTAAGTAAGTGGGTACTAATTATGTTTTCAACCTTTGCACTCAGTGGGATCAGATTCAGGAGCTGCTAGGACACCCCATGGAAAAACCAGTTGTGCTACACAGGTGAGAAATGTATATTTTGGCCACATATACAGTACAAACTGTTTTATTGACGTCTTCCATGGCTGAAACACCGATTGAGCGATTACATGAGACATGATGCAATTCAGTAAGTTGTACTGTATCTCAACATACCTTTTAATGTTTATGCATGTTCATGCGCTATAACTTGTATTCAAGTGGAAGAAAAGATTTGCGCTGCCGCTTGAACTGGGGAACTACTGCGGTCTGTTATGTCACATTCAAGAGCATCGAAACACTGTTTATTGTTTGAATTTCATGATCAAATGGACAGAATTTGAAAGCTGAGACTTTGTTTCTTATCAGAAGTAACAAAGCTTTGTTGGATGCGAGGCGAGCTACAAATAATATTTGATGGAGGGAAAAATCTCGGATCTGGCAACCCTGGCTTGATTCATAGGGTTAAAATAGAGCCTGCTTTAACGTCGCTATTTAAAGGCGTCATTGCCCTAAATTCAACACAGGAGACATTTTCTTCACACACAGTATGCAGTTTGGTAATCAGTCTCACACGTTTTTCCACCTCCTATTGATTGACAGGTTATAATTGGCCGATAGTGAAAATAATTGCTTTTAACGGCCGATACCGATATCCCTACTACTAACCATAAGTAACTCCGCAACTACATGTTAACTAGCAGTCATTAGAGTATTAGTAAACTGTCTGCTTAATATCTGCAAAAACTTTATTTTGATGGTCCTCCAACAGACATTATACTGACCCTAAGTAACTTGGCAACTACATGTCTACTTATTCTACTAACCCTAACCAAACAGCCTATTAATACTCTTGAGGTAGTTGGCATGTAGTTGCAAGTTAATGAAAGTTAGTTGATATGTAGTTCCAAAGTTACTTATAGTTAGTAGAATGTACTTATAGTGTATATATAGAAATAAAGGGTAACCTTTTATTATTTCAGCTTTTCTTCAATTGACACAAATATTTGAATAGTTTTATTTTACAATAACAACACTGCCTGAATTTAAACAAAAAAGGCAAAGGTCATTCACATGCTTTAATGCAAACTACAGCACAGAGCCACCGCTGCATATGAAAACGTGTTTATAATGCTCTGATTAATTGTACACTGCTCTGCAGGTCATCCTCTGCAAACAACACCAACCCTTTTGGTTCCACATTTTGTTTTGGACTGCAGAGAATGATATTTGAGGTATGTGACTGGGCCATCTGTGTGTACTGTTTGTTTTACTTAGTAAGCCTGTATAAAAAGTTGCTTTTAAAAATAAATAAAGATATTAATTTTACAAATAAATGGCAGATTTGGTTTTCATGTTTACAGTACAGTGAAAGTATCATTTGCTTATATTAAGGATGTACTGATATAAAACTTTTGGATGATGCTGAAACAACACCCTCAAGTTGTTCTAAACCTGTATCAATTTATTTCTTCTGCTGAACACAAAATAAGATATTTTGAAGAATGCTGGTAACCAAACAGTTGATGTACCCCATTGACTTCCATAGTTTTTATTTTTCATATTATGGAAGTCAATAAGGTCCATCAACTGTTTGGTTAATCATATTCTTTTTCATAGTCCATAATATTGGCAGATAACCATATACCATAGCTCATACACAGATAAGCACTTATTGGATCTCATCTCCATGCTGTTGCTGTTGTTACAGGTCATGCAGAATAACCACATAGCTTCTGTGACTCTCTACGGAGCGCCTCGTCCAAGTAGCCTGGCCCGTGCCGAGCCCAGTGGCCACTGAGGAATCCGCCATGCCCACGGTGCCCGTCCAGCCCTGCAGAGCCTCTGAACTGACCAGTAGAGTGTGCCTTCACTCACTGCTGCCATCACACAAGCTAAAGCAAGACATGCTGGGAGTTTCTCTGGAGTTAAACTCTTCCCCCCTCAATTCGGTCTCCTCAATAATAGCATGGAGGCTGCCCTCAGCCTGCTAATAATCTCAGATAACCATGCAAACCTGGCTCTGCCCCCAAAGCTTTAACCCAGACATGCATCAACGTCAGCATCGTTATAGTACTTGTGGATGCACAGTGATTCATTTCCACACAAGCATATGTGATTTTTTTTTGCCCAACCTTCTAAATTTCCATACCAGACGCACCAAAGGGCGAACATTGAACCGATTTCTCCTCTGCACGCTAAACACTTTAACAAAAACACACACGCATTCAAGTTCTTTTGCTTTCCTATGCGCAGAGGATGAGAACAAAGTCAAATGAGGACAAACTTTTGCCGCGTAAATTCAACGAGTGTGTTTTGTATGCATTGACGTAAGGTTACAAGCACAAGCTTGCACAGTGTGGATCCAGTGCTGTGAAAATGTTCTTGTGGCACATGAGCAGGCTCACATACACGCATAACGATTCAGAAACCCATTTCATACCAAGTCAGCAGCACAGATTACCTCCCATTTCAATACCCTACACCCGCTTATGTTGATTCCGTTATTGTTTTGTTGTTCATGAGCTCATTAGTTTTGAACATTTGCACTAAAATACACCTAATTTACTTGATAATTGTCTCCTGTCCACTGAGGAACGTTTTAATTGCGAGTCTCGGAGAGAAAGAACGGCGGGGGAGGGAACGACGATGTGCAATTGGATTTCAAAGCTAGCTGCAACCCAGACCGGAGAGAAAAGCCACCCACCCATCGCCGTTTCTTTTTCCCACCGGATGTCATGCCGTCAATTCTGTTTGCGTCCTTTTATTTTGTTCCAAGTTGAAAGATGTGAAGTTCTTTTCCCTTGTTCAGTATCTTAAAGTCTTAACTGCAGAACTGTTTTGTCACCTGATTGCCAAATCATTAGCCAAAGAAGAAACAACAGTTAGCTCTTTGACATTTTTAATACCCACAGTGTAAGAACATTCCCTTTTGATTTGATCTATTAAGTCCCTGAATTGTTTTTAGCATAGCAACTCCCATCAATTTTTAATGCTTCTTTATTTGAAGCTTTCTCTCTTCAGATTTGTTGCTGTTGTTTCCATAGCAAGTAGATGTGATGTTTTCCAAGCACGGTGTGTCCATGTCTGTACAGATCTGTAAATAGCGTGCAGAATTTTCATTGTTTTGTTGCCCTAACGGTACCGTATCAGATCAGCTGATGTTTGGAACTCCCCAGACTGCTAACATTCGGAGAGTTTCTGGCTTCCTTTGCCAGCTCTTGAGGGACAATATAGCAGCTTCCCTCGAGTGTTGTCCTAGATGCCGTAGCCTACATTTGACCACTTTCGGAGATGACTAGAGCATTTTAACTTCAGTAGATGGTCTGTTCACCTCTAACTACTGTTCATTGCTTTGCGTCCTGGCAGCGAAACCACCAATGGCTGTCAAGCTCCACACCTCTGGTGTCATTCCAACCTCCCTTCAGGCTTCTGCAGTGTGTGGTTCAGGCTTATTCGGGCATTCAGCTTTCTGTTAGATTAACTCCGCTGGAAGACCGTCAGTGGTGTTTTTAATATATTTTACCCTTAACTTTTGGTCTTTTACAAGGAAGATGCTTTTAACATTGTGCCTCATCTCCCACCGAGCCTGTCTTGACTTTTTTCTCTGTAAATGAAATTGTTTGAACTGCTTTGTGTATGTCCGAGCATGTAAAGCTAAATTAATAGTCATAGTCCTTTTGTTTCCGAAAACGTACCTGAATATTAGAGGAAGAAAAAAACGACTCGTTGGGTATTGAACTCTTTTCATGAAGCGCTAGTTTACTGTGTTCAGTGTATTTAAATTGATTATTGCAGTCCGCGTACAAAAATGTAACAGAAAATGGAGATTGCCCTTCATGATCTGAAGTTCACAAAGTGGTTGTGGTGTTTCTGTCTCAATACAATTTGTACTTTTTGAAACGGATGTGGAGTTCCACTTTAATATGGTTAGATCTTAAAGCAAACTGCTTAGATGCACAATTGGAATCTCCGTTGTCGATAAGGAACAACACAACCGCTGTTTTATTGTCATTTAGGGATTGTAACTGAGGGGGGGGGTGTGGTCTGATGGGCTGATTGCCTGCCCAAACTCAGGTGGATGTTTTTTTTAATGCCAGGAGCAAGTGAATGCTTTTCATCAAATGGGTTTTGGCTGTAATGTTTCTTCTTCAGACTTTATCCTATTTTTGCATCGGAATGAATGAATGAATGATCATCCTGAGGATTGTAATTAGAAATGGACAAACTCCATACAGTGTAATGCGCATATTAATGCTATGTATTGTATTCCTCTATATTGTATGTTCTTCCCCATCCTCCAAAAAGTGATTATTTTTTGTGGATTTAGTACATTTAACCCATTTCTGGAAGTGGGACTTATCCTCGATTAAAAAAAGTGTGTATCTAAATTGATTGCAATGTGGTGTTTTGTATCACAGATATTTTTACTTCTGTAGGTTTAAGGAACATGTACACGGAATATCAACATTTATCAGGCAATTTTTGTTGTTGTTTGTTTCTTTTTGTTATGTTTTCAAAGCAATAATCATTGCGTTGATGGAGTATAAATTGGAATGGTCTGGTTTATCAAAAGCTCCGAGTGGGGCAACAATGCTGTGACCATTGGATTTAAGTTTCCTTGTTCAATCTACTGAAAGCATTATCATTTTTTTTTAAACTGCTAATTTTGCATTTTGTTCATTAAAACTGTTACAGTGTGTTCAACAAAAATATTTAAAGAATGGATGTAATAAATATGGGGGGAAAGAATGGAGGGATCTTTTGTCTTTTGTTAAAAAAAAAAATTATTCACTTCATTTCAGAATCATTCAATTGAGTTTAATGTAAATCTAAAAGACAGCAGGTCATCTAAAACAATGCAGCACACTTATCAATCAAAGAAAAAAAATGGTGCCATTTGTCTAATAAAGGATATGTATACAGTAATAGTCTCTATATTACATAACTCAGTACATTTCAATGCATAACATTAGTGTCCATTTTGTGCATACAAAATGTGTCTGATTCCCCTGCACTTCCTGTACAACATCTTTATAATTTAGACAAACTCTACAGTAATTTCCCCAAAAATAGAGAATAGTTTGAATTGGATATAAGAATCATCTACAGAAGCTTTTGTGAACCTTTTTTCTTAGATTTTATATTTGAGCATTTTTTTAAACAGTCGAAAATTACAATTTAGTCATGTTGTTCCAAGCCTGAAATGTTCAGATATGTGTCAATGCAGATCACTTCAGAAGATTTTCAGTGAATAATGACTTAAATATCTCACACAAAGCTATCATATGGCTTTAGAGCATTTGGAATATAGCTGTATGAGTTGTACCTTTGGAGCAGGACAGACAGTTGATGGTCATTGGATGTTTTCTTTGTGTGGAAAAGAGTAGCATGTTCAAAAAAACAATCATGAAAGGAAGTCATAAATGGATATGACATGGGGGAAAAAGCAGATATCATGGCCACGAATTAAGAATTCATTCCCACAACTTAATTGATTTCATCATTTTAGGTAAACCGTGCCCATGTTGTACTGATTCATTCCCTCATTTTAATTTAGTTAAAGACCCCCTGTGGGGAAAATAAATGTTTTAATGTTGTTTATATGTCTATGTGGTGTTTTTAATATGCTTTAAGACAGACCATGGTTTGTGTAATATTAGCAACACATTATTAGCTGTTTGATAACGTAGTCAAGCAAAAGGCTAATCATATTAATTATGTGTCCAATGTTGTAGAGAGCGATACATAAAACAAACGCATTACCATTCTGATTCATCGACTTGTAGACGAGCCTGTATGAGTGAGTGGAGGCGGGGCTCATTTGCATGTTCATGGCTCCTCATGTACTAAATGAAGTAAATGTGTAAAAATACATTCAAGCTATTTTAAGGCATGAATAAATATTTTCACAGGAAAAAACTTTTGGTGACCAAATATGAGTTCTAAGGGACAAAATTATTGACTACAGGGGGACTTTAAATCACGTCCATGATTTAACTAAACAAACAAATAAGTACAATGTGGAAATAATAAAACGTGGCCACTGGCCATGAAATATTAAGTTGTGGAAGCTTAATTCTTAATTTAGCTTATGGTATCTATTTTTTCTTCTATGTCATCTGGGGGTTTGATTGACATGCCGGTGAATTTTTGCTTTAGTTTTTCCTCATATGTGACCCTGGATCACAAAACCAGTCACAAGTCGCACGGGTATATTTGTGGCAATAGCCAACAATACATTTTATGGGTCAAAATTATTGATTTTTCTTTTATGCCAAAAATCATTAGGATATTAAGTAAAGATCATGTTCCATGAAGATATTTTTGTAAATTTCCTGACGTAAATATATAAAACATTTATTTGTGTGAGTGAATGCAGCACAATCACAAACATAAATAGGCAACTTTAAAGGCCGATTTTCTCAATGTTTCAATCGATTTGAAAAAGATTTTCAAATAGTTGTATCTCGGCCAAATATTGTCCTATCCTAACAAACCATACATCAATGGAAATCTTATTTATTCAGATTTATTCAGATGATGTATAAATCTTAATTTCAGAAAATGTACCTATTTGACTGGTTTTGTAGTCCAGGGTCACATATTCCCTGTCCGTTTCATGTTTTATTTTCACAGTACAGTCATTTTCTAGGAGTTAATGCTCCACAAACACTTTTAACCCATAGTCGTTGTCCCTAAGCTTCTCCTTTGCCTTGTTCTTAGCAGTCATCTTGTCTCTCCATTGAAAGGGGAAAACCGTAGGATCCTGACTGCTGTGACACTGAAGGTTAGGGTCATGCAGAAGGTTCCACATGAGCCAGATCTGTGGGACGGTCAAGCTGTGCACCACCATCAGCTCTCTGTAGAAGCAGGGGTCAAAGACCTGGAGGTGGGGGGCAGCGGACGGTCTCACAATTCCAAAGGTGCGGAAGCCTTCGTGGCGAGTCGGCTGAAGGTCGATCCTCAGCAGACACATGCCCAGAAAGACATCATCAATGGGGAAGAGTTCCACCTCTTTGCAGGCGAGGTGGAGCTTCAATGCGGTATGTCCCGACATGACAAAGCCACCTCCGCCAGCATAGGACGGGTAGATCCCCTGGCCGTAAATAAACTCGGGGATGAAGTACTTACTGTTGCGCCTGCGTATTGGTCTTGCGTGGACAATGATGTCGCCGACAAAAAGATCCTTATCGATCTCTTGACCCTCAAGCATCTCCAGGATATTGTCGATGTTCACGTACACATCTGCGTCACCCTTAAAAATAAACTTTGCTTTGGGACAGCTAACATTGATCCACTGTAGGAAGTGGATTTCTTTTAGTGTCAAGTTAAAGAATGTGTCTTCAAAATCCCACAGGAGGATGTCATGAAAAGTGTGGCTCTCATATCCCAAAAGTTTGTCCCATAATGGAAGCACTGTTTGATTTTGGGGTACACCGAGAAGAAAAACTCTCCTGACGTTCATATCTTTCTGGAACACACCTTCTCGTCCCCATGTGCGTCGAACGACCTGACGTTTGTCGAAGTCCGTTGCTACTGATTTTATGGCGATCAGCATGTAGGGCGCTCCTTCTGGTCCAGAACACTTTGTAGGCTGATCAATTAGCAGCTTGAAGTCCCGTTGGTCTTTTTTTTTAAGGTAATCATAAAAGTCAAAGGAAGCATGTGTTGGTAGCAGACTTGCTGTCGTTGAGGGTTGGAGAAATTTAGACTTTGCTTTCTGAGAATTGACCTTTGGTGGTCTTTGTGCTTTAGGCTTGATCTGAACCTCAGGCTTGCAAGGAGGTATGTCTGGAGATTTTGAAGGGAACGGCTTTGTTTCCAGTCCCTTTGGTGCTCCACTGAGGAGGGTTCTTGAGCTGGTGGATCCATGTTGAATGTGCAATGTCCCCCATACGGGTGTCATACTTTGATGGGCATATAACAGCAGAAATAGCAGCACCAGCAGAATTAGGGAGCAAAGTATATCTCCCTTTATATAGACCCTTCTCATGGTGTGACCGGTTTTACCGTTATATTCCCATGAAATTCGGTAGAAGTCTCACATTCTTCTTAAAGTGTTTGGATTTTCTCACGGCCGTAGTAGGTTCTGCTAAATAAAAGTACAAACAAAAGTCAGTTAAAATAAATGCACGATAACTGCTTGCAAAGCATCATTTAGGTTGTATTTTTCCTCCAAAAAATAAAATTCATGCTACATCTAACCTCTTAAAACACACAACTAAATCTGCAGTTATACTAATCATGTCCGTAAAACCAATTTCCTATTGTGTAAGATTTGAGAGGCATCACATATACTTCTTACCACAGCATCCTGGATGTCATCAAACAAAAGGAGACACAGGATATTACTTGACCAAAGTTATGCTTCATAAACGGCCAGGACCGCATACTTCTATGAAACAGGATACACAACCAATTTATAACAGGAAACACATCTTACCAATTTTGGAACTTAAAAATCTTTTCTGGCACTTCAAAGTAAAAAAAAAAAAAAAAAAAATTTGAAACTGTTGAAAGAGCTTAAATGTCTCTTTCATGTGTTATTCACAGAAATCCAATACAGTTGCTTTTCCAAGTCATCAGTCAGTTTAAAATGCACATGCAATATATCAATATATATAATTCGTCAACAACACCACATAATGACATTATTTTAAGAGATGTAAATATTACTTCATTCCTCAAATATGTTCACTAAAATTATTTATAGCTCAATTGTACATTCTGTAACTACATGGTTAGTAAGTAGGCTATGAGTTATGAGTAACCATTTAGTCAATTGATTCGTTAAAAACACCAAGCCGAGTTGTGTGCCTACAAGTCTCCCGAAAGAATGTTTCTAAGCATTTATTTCCCCACTCATATGACAACCCTGTAGGCCTACTGTGTTTGCTCTACAACTGGCTTTATTACACTTTTAACGTACAAGATCTGGTTCAGTTCGTAATAACGAACGAGCATTCACTGAACAATTCGTTCGCTTAAAAAATATTCATTCAAAAACAAACGCGTCACCCCACAGGCATATAGACAAACTTGTGTAATTTAAACATTTGAAATTTAGAAATGACACTCTAAATACAATTGCATTTTGGTTGCAATATTTTAAAATGTATTAAACACTGCCTAGTGCGATTAATAATTATTACCATTCAGGATCGTTATTATGCGTCTGCATTTCAAGTTGCTTTCTTTTTAAATTACATTTTCGCGTCCAGCCTTCTTTATAACTGTCTTTCTTTGTTTCAAACATACATTTACAAAACTTACCCAGATGACGGCGTACCAGGAGAGCAATGACAAGACAGAGCAACCAGATCCAAACATCTGCTTCCACTATTAAAGCTGCTGTACGCGACTGTGGCGTGTGCATGTTTCAGAAAAAAAACTTTTCCAACTCGCTGAATTGCGCTAGGTTATTAAAGACATCTCTGTTCGCATCAATTGTGTTCGTAAGAATGTACATCAGTTACAAGCATAAGGCTTCTTGCGCATTTTTAAAGTTCTTTCATTGATCACGTGACAGCTCGAAGCTTGTTGGATGCATCGCGCGCCAGATGCCAGCGCAGCAACTCCTCGCGAGCCGGGAGCGAGGACAGGGAAGCGAGCACGCGCAAGAGAATTATGAATTCAGGAGAGTGTGTCCCATTGCCGCCCTTTTCTCTTACCATAATAGAAAATAAAACTAGATTCAACAGTTTAACTGCACAGATAGAATGAAAACAGATACATTTATATAATAATTTAATATCCTGTTTGAATACAGATAAAACCAGTCGATTTACAAACACATTGACTTGGTACATTAAATACAGTCTCTTTGGCTATCAAGTTTTGGCTAAGACTTTACAGTTACTGACAGACCAACCCAGTTACTCCTCTAAAACAAAACTGCAGCCAGTGAAGGCAGGATTCAAAATATATCCCCTCATGCAGGCCTTTTATTTCCCAGCAGGCTGCTGGGCCCTTTCCAAGCCTGTTTTGGGGGGTCTCCCCCAGGAATGTGGTCTGATCTTCCAGACTTCTGCACTTTAAGGTCATTTCGGACCAGATGTTTCTCAGGAGGAAGTAGTTCCTGCTCTCATGATCTTGAAAAGAGCATTGATGTTGTTGTTCTTGATGGCATCTCGACAGGCAGTGATAACCTGAGTTTTAGGTTTTCCCACTGAAAAGCATAATTGGAAATGAATTAATTATAATCGTGATTACCATTAATTGCAGAAAAAACAACTAATGAGCGAGCTGAGAGACCATTTAAGCTATTCGTAGTTTTTAGTCATGTGACTGCCATCTGGAAGGCAAACCATCCATAGAACTGCAGCACAATCCTGTCCATTTTCCATCCGTTTCAAACCAAATATTTAGATGACCTCTCAAAAGAAAAGATATTTGAACAAACTGCAAGTTTGGGGCACTTGTAATCCATATAAAACACTAGGCACAGTATTTCAATCACGAAAAATAGCGGGAAATTCTAAAACGCTTAATAAACTTATCAAAAGATCAAATTCAGTATACATCTCATTGATGATGCATACTATATATATAGGCAAACAAAATATGAATGCAAACATGCTACATTTCATGTTAAGTTTTTACTTGAAAAGGGTTTTATATGGGAAAACTCACTGCTTTAGTACATTAGTACTCAGTATAATCCTGGTAAAAATAACTGCCGGGCAGTGGAGGAAAATCTTGTTTTGCACTCCAGGTGGGCGTTCCTATACAGTGTGACGTCAAGTGAAAACTATGAATACTCATTAATTGTGTTTTCTTAGTAAAATCCACCCACCTCTCAATCTCCCTGCCCTTTGGATGGCCTGGTTAACTGATTTCAGCCGTGCGAGGAGGGCATTGTGATTATTAGACCTGATTTTATATTCATTAATCAAATCTCTGTTGAGGTCATACAGCTCAATGTAGCGTTTCTTCATGTTTCTCCTAAAAAACAGAATAACATTTCTGTGAGTACAAGTCTTTGGGAAAGCGAGAGGACTGATCAATCAAACTAAGCTGCTCACCAATCACCCATGAGTCTGGCATCTTCCGCCTGCACCAGCATATTTCTTACGTAGTTGGAATGATCTGCCATTGCCGCTGTGAGCTTTTGATGCACTGAGTGAAAATCATCCACCTGACACGAACATAAAAGGATGTTTGCAGCTAAAAGACTTCAAAAAATGTTTATCTTAAAGGAGATGTTGCAATTCTTAACCTCAGTGAGAGTGGTTCGTAGCTCTTTGAAGTAGACAGGGAAGTCAGCTTCAGCCTGTAAGTCTTCAATGGCCAGAAAAGAAGCAAGTGACTGGACCAGATCTCCAGCCAGATCAATGTCATCTGTTCTCAACGTGATCTGATGAGGCTGAACTAAGTTAGAGATATTTTTTTTGAGTAAGTAGCTCACAAATACTGACAAACACACAATAAAAGCACCTCTCCACTATGCTGCATATTGATTCTCAGGAGACCTCCTCCACGCAGTGCGGTGAAGGTGATGTCTGGACTGTCAATGCCCTCGGACAGCAGAAAGTTCTGGTTTAGCCACATGACTACCTGCAAACATAGATGCATGCCTCATATTTCATCAGCACTATGATATACATGGCACAATTTTTGTGACGTCATGCACTCAGTTCCATTTTGAGTGAGTGTGTCCTTGTACCCTCTGAGGTCTGTCATTGATGTTGAATGTGACTTTTCCTGTGGGTTCTGTGGCTAAGGAGTCAACGCTAAGGTCATACATCGAGAAGCGAGGCAGCTGACGTGTGATTTCAAATACGTGGAACTGTGTACTGTAAATGGGGAAAAAGAACAGAAAAATGCATCGTCATGAGATTTTTTTGAAATTCTTTCACCATATTTTTTCATAATACCTTAATTTTAAACTTAAAATAAGTAGTTGAATGAATCCTCAAAATGTGATCCAAATAATGAAGTTTGACAATCGTCATGATGATATTCACTTTTGTGTACCTTGTCTTTCCTCCCACAAAGGCTTTGATGTGAAGGTCAACTGGAATGTCTTTTGGAGGAATGATGGGGACACGGACACAGCCAGAGAGATTTTGAGCGCTAGGGTGAACCACGTGACTCTCACCTTCAAAAATCCCTTCAGCAAATATCAGCACGGCTCTAATGATTGTTTCTGAAGGAGGGCAGCAAAAAGAATATCATAATATAAAACTTCATGTTGACAGAGCCCAAAAAAACGTATATTAAGACCACAAATTGTACTAATGTGTTCCCTTGTTTTAGTAAATCATGACCATGTTAAGCTAATTTGTTTCCTTGTTTTAGTTAAACAGTGGTCACATTTTAATAATTCGTTCTAATTCATTCTAATTGTGGCTACATTGTACTAATTCATTCCTTTGTTTTAATTTAGTTAAATTGTGGCCATGATATCTTGTTTTTTCCCCCCATATGTTATACGTGGTGCTCTCTACAGGTCAAACAGCTTTTACTAATTTTAATGTGGCTTTTATGAAAGGTCTATATAATTGAACTAAAAAAAAATAGAGGTGAAAAAAAGTGTTGCAACTGAGTTAAGATGGTTTAACTGTACCATTCGGAGTGGAGATGTTGAGCTCTATGTGTGCTCTCTGGCTCTCTGTGGCTCTTCGTACAGACAAGGCTGTCTGGAGCTGCGTGTTAGCTGGAATTACACCCATCTTAAATTCCCCCTCCGAAACTCCAGGAAGAGCCTATGTCACACAAATTTCACTCATCAAAAACTGCATTGGGAACATCAACATAAATCACTAAATTTTAACTAAAGAACCGCATGCATAACCTTGGAATTTTCCTCGTAGTTTCGTAATTCCAGCATCAAGTTCTGTTTACGTTGGCTCAGCTCCCTGATCAGGTCTTGTTCTACACTTGCATCCATTAGGTTTCCCTTCATATCCTTACTGGCAGGCAGATAGCCACGTACTGTAGGATGACACATATATATGATGAGCCAATACTCAAGGGCATTTATATGCATTTATAATAAATGTCCGTCATCTCACCCTCTCCCTCCACAGAGGTGCATATAAGCTGAATCTGTCCATCCATGCG